TTTTCCCTCTGTATTCTCATAAGAATTTGTATACGAGGGCTAGGGTTATAGCCCAGTGGTAGAGTGCTTGCCTAGAGAATGTGAAGCATTGAGTTCAATTTTCAGCATCACATATAAACAAACAAATCAAATAAATAAATGTTAAGGGTCCATTGACAACTAAAAAAAAAAAAGAATTTGTGGGCTGGGGTTGTGGCATGGTGGTATAGAGCTCGCCTAGCATGTGTGAGGCACTGGGTTTGATCCTCAGCACCACATAAAAATAAAGGTATTGTGTCCACCTACAATGTGTGTGTGTGTGTGTGTGTATATATATATAATTTACATAGGATTTATTCAAAAATATTTACAAGTATTGTGTCCACTATAACACACACACACACACACACACACATATATAATTTGTATAGGATTTATTCCAAAAATATTTTATTTATGCTGATGCTGGAGTTTTCTGTGAGAAAAGTTTTCAGTAATAAAGTCAATTTATTTAATAAATAGCCAAATTAATGTTAAGTAATTAGACAAATTGAAAATTTGTATTATTCAGTAATTATTATTGGATGCCTAGATTGTGAAGAGTATTGAACTGGGTGTTGGGAGATAAAAGATGAAAAAAGTAAGTTTCCTGCATTTATGGAGGTTATGCTTTAGCGGGAGATATTAAAGCATAGTAACACATAAAGCACAAAAGATTGAGCATAACAGAAGCAAGCAAGTAGAAGCATTTCAAATTTGTACTGAGAGAGTAAGAGAAATTTATCCAAAGTACCTGGCAAAGACTCAAAAGAAGGTATTATTTGAGGTGATACTTAAAAGTACATGTTTGCCAAATTGACAGGGTAGAGGAGAGTGTTTCAGGTAGAAAGTTTAATGCATGCAAAGGTATAAAGGATGTAAAGAACATGGACATGTTAAGAAAGCATAAATTGAAGATTACTAATTTTTTTTTTTGGGGGGGGGTTACCAGGGATTGAACCCAGGGGTGCTGAACTACTGAGCCACATCCCCAGACCTTTTTTATATTTTATTCAGAGACAGGGTCTTGCTGTTTTGCTAAGTGCCTCACTAATCTTCTGAGTCTGGCTTTGAACTTGAGATCCTTCTGCCTCAGCCTTGAGGTGCTGGGATTACAGATGTGCACCGCCACACCAGGCAAGATTTCTCACATTTTAAATTAAAGGTTGGAAGTCAGAGATAAAGCTGGGCAAGGCTGGAACTTTATGATAAACCAGGGCTAAATAGTGAAGGAAGTTATTTACCCTGCATTAGTTTGCATTTTATCTTACTACTATTTGGAAGTTACTAAAAAATTTTGAGCAGGGGAGTGATTTTATTTAGAGTTTTGCTTATGATAAAATGGATAAAGGGAAAGTAGAGTTATGGTTGAATGGTAATGAATATTAAGTCCAGTCTAGAGATGATAAGGGCCTGAATTAGGGGAGTGAGAGTAGGAAAAAAGGAGGGAACAAAAACAAGATATATTTTATAATTTTATGAATAGTTTAAATGGTCCTACTAGATTTGCTAACTTGAGGGTCACTGGTAACCTTAGTGATAACTGTTGTCACTATCATGGGAAGGTAGGAGCAGAAGTTGAGAATAGTGAATTAAGAATTGAAAAGATGAGCCAGTTGAAAGAGCAAGTATGAACTACTTTCAATTGGCTGTGAATGGTGGAAAACTTCAAATTTGTACTGAGAGAGTAAGACAAGGGAAATTAAATTTTTTTTTAAATTGTTGATAGATGTTTATTTTATTTATTTATTATTTATATGTGGTGCTAAGAATCGGACCTAGTGCCTCACACATGCCAGGCAAGTAGAAATGGTTAAATAGAAGGTTTTTTTTTTTTTAAAGATGGAAACAACATGAATATACTTATATACTTATATGTTGAGAGAAAAGGGTGAATGGAAAAATTAGAGTTCTAAGATACAGAGAAGAAAGGAAACAGACAATGAAGTCAGGTTCCTGAAAAGGTTGGGGAGTAAAGAATTCAGGGCATGCACAAGTGGATAGGCGGAACTATAAGCAAAGATGCTAAAGAATAAGAATACAGTGGCATAAAGTTCAGAGAGTTCACAGAAATTTTATTTTATGAGGGAAATAGTAAGTTATTTATCTGTATAGAAAGAAGAGGAGAAAGCTTGGAGCTGTAAGCTTGAAAAGAGCACTAATGTTTGGAACAACCATTGAAAGGCATAAGATTGGTAATTATCAAGGCCAAATCTCAGGGCAAATCTAAGACTTGTACCACAAAGTTTTATGTACACCAATCTCTAACGTTATGTAATTTGTTCTTGGGGGGCATAATTGAGGTGCATGGTTGGAGTATACATTACTGGAGTCTTTTTGGCTGGCTGTGGTAAAAGAGCAAAGGGGGTTTAAGGATACTGGCAAAAGGAGAGTTGAAACAGAAAAGAGGAATAAAAAGGAGAAAGCTAATATGATTGCATGACATGATGAATTACAAGCTGTAATGAGACTTCAATTGTGAAAGAAGTTAGGATAAGAATCTGTGATAAGCTAGATACAGAGTCCAAGATTTCAGAAATGGAGCCATTTTGGGTGTGAAAAAGCCTGATGAAGAGCAAGGACATGAGACGAAATAAGAGTTAAAGATGATTTCTAGGTCAGAGGAGTGTGTGACTAGGAAGATTTAACAATATGAAACTAGAAGTCTCTAAGATGGCAAGATTTGGGAGGAAGAATATAAAACAGTAAAAATTGAACAATAAGTGATAGTGACTGTTGACACAGAAGGGGGCGGGAATGTACCTTGTGGTATAGTCACATGACTTAGGTTTCAAGTGAGATCATAAGGTCAGAAATAGAAACAATAGTCCACTTCCCTGTCTTTACTTCTTTTTAAAAATGTATTAAGTGAAGGTGGTAGCTATATTTATTCTTTTTTTTTTTAAGAGAGAGAGAGAGAGAGAGAGAGAGAGAGAGAGAGAGAGAATTTTAATATATATTTTTTAGTTTTCGGCGGACACAACATCTTTGTATGTGGTGCTGAGGATCGAACCTCGGCTGCATGCATGCCAGGCGAGAGCGCTACCACTTGAGCCACATCCCCAGCCCAGCTATATTTATTCTTTAAAAATTTTTTTCTTTTTAGTTATACATGACCATAGAATGTATTTTGACATACATAGAGTATAACTTCCCATTCTTGTGGTTGTATGTGATGTGGAGTTACACTGGTTATATATTCATATGTGAACATAGGAAAGTTATGTCTGATTCATTCTACTGTCTTTCCTATTTATTCTTTTTATAATTATGGAAAAGCGGAGAAATATATGGGGTATAAAATATTTCTCCCATCCAGTCCTCTATTCTTTGAAACCCTTTTAAATCCACTTACATGCATACACATGTAATTTTTTTTTTTTTAATCTTGCATCCATCCAGGGCAAAATTTTTTTAAATTATTTTTTTTAGTTGTAGATGGACACACAATCTTTTTAAATTTTTTTCTTTTTATTTTTTTGTGGTGCTGGGGATTGAACCCAACGCCTTGTGCATGCCAGGCAAGCACTCTACCAACTGAGCTATGTCCCTAGCCCTACACATGTAATTTTTGTGTTTTGACATAAATTGATAGTTATATGTTTTTCGTTTTGTTTTTGCAGTCCCCCCCCCCCTTTATTTTTAATCTTGGATCTCTCTTTTGTTTTTAAGTCTCCTGCCTTAGCCTCCAAGTCGCTGGGATCATAGGCATGTGACACGATGCTACTTGGATTCCTTTTAATGGCCTTAATAGGTGTGTGTGTGTGTGTATTTTTTCTTTACTTCTAGGGCAAATCACCCCATAGTAACAGATATGCCACTAACCATTTTCTATTGATAGTTCATGTTTTCCAATATTTCTTTACTGAAATAACCATCATTGCATATACCTTTTTATGCATATCAGGATTTCTCTAAAATACCTATTAGTGAAATTGCTAAATTGAAGGTTACATATACTTAATATTTTGGTTAATTCCACTAGATTTCCCTTCAAAACGCTGTGGTAATTTACATTTCTGCCAACAGTATTTGGGAATAGTCCAAGCTCCTCCTCCTCAACAGTAACAAAATTATAATCTTTTAATATTTTAAGATATCATTTTCCTAGGTAGAGTAGAAAAATTAGAGGTATAATTCAACCAGTCAATACAATTAAGTGTTGAAGACTGCCACTTGCTTAGTCACACAAATGAGCTCCAATCTAGGTTTTGGCACTTGCTATCTGTGCTAATTAAAGCATTTCTAAGTTATAGTGTTGTGATAAGTTTACATTTGGAGTGCACACAGGTACAGAGTTCCTTAGTATTTATCATTATAGAAGTAGGAGCAAATAGCATCCATTACATAGTTCATTATGCTTCCTGAGTTATCACAAATCGGTTGATTCCATTTAAAGCGTATCATGGTCAAATTTTCCAAAAAGGTAATCACAGTACACACTGAAAGCACAGCAAAATATTTCAAAAGGTGTCGTTCTGTAAAGTCCGAAGTAAGGAGTTGCTCTCCGACCAAAAAAAAAAAAAAAAAAATCAATCAATCAATCAATCAATCAGGCTGGGCATTTTTAACAGATTCTGGAAGGTAAAAAGCACGTGTCCATGAGTGTCCCAAACATTTCCCGCAGGTACCCGGTATGAGATTCCACAAGAGGAGGCATCATTTTCCTGCCAGGAACCTATGATTAAAAAGTGGCTCTTGGAAGGCACTCAGCCAGATTTCCAGATGAGGTCCCATCCTTCTGAGAGATGCGGGGACCTGCCGGCAAGATGACGCTTTCTACGGGACAGAGATTTTCATAACGTAAGTCGTTCGCCGAGAAGGCATTTTGCCATTACTCAAGATGGTGAACAGGGTATCCAGTGTTCCCAGGTTCCAATATGGATCCCCTAACCCGCGCCATCGAAGAGGTTAATTTCAGGATTGAAACGGAACTCGGGAGGAAGAGACGCAGCGGAAGTAGTCGCTTACGCAACTCCCGTCCTCAACGTCCCGCCCCCGGCTCTACGCCCCGCCCCTGGCGACGCGGAGAGCGGAGTCAAGATGGCGGCCGAGTTGGAGTATGAATCTGTGCTGTGTGTAAAGCCGGACGTCAGCGTCTACCGGATTCCACCCCGGGCCTCCAACCGCGGTTACAGGTACCAACTCTGAGGCACTGCCGCACACGTGTCGGGAATGACATTTCTGTTTTTAAAGTAGCACGCTGTCTTTGCTCTAGGTTGTCACCTTGCTAGCTTACCCTCTGGGTTGTTACCGTCCTGTTCTCTTGTTCCACTTCTACATAGTTCATTATCATTGGTCTTGTTTCCGCCAGTTATCCTTTTTTTTTTTTCTTTTTTACCATCCTGAATCATTCCACTTCTCCTCCCCCATCTCTCTTGGGACATCCATATGCTCCCCATCATCCACATCCATTCATATCTGTTCCATCGCCATTCACCTTCTGTTCTTTCTTAAGTGCGTCCTTCAGCTTGTAATCCTCTCTCCCCAATCCCTGACAAATACATTTCCAGTACCCACTGCACACATGTGGGTAATCATTGTGTTATTGGTCACTGTTGAATGATCAAATTTATCTTTTGTACTGTTGTCAGTCTCACATCAAGTATCATTATTCATCATTCGGTTTTTCCTACGATTGTTTTGCTAGTGGCAAATATAATGATCATAAGTTTTCCAATGATTGTCTATTATGCTTCTTTTCAATATATTTTCTTGGTTATATTGTATTTTTTTGTCTTCCTTTCCTTCCTCTCATTTTCTGTAGTGTTTCTGTCCAGGATTAATGCAGCATTTTCTTGGTAGGGCCTAACTAACAACCTCATAATCCAGTAACTATTAAGGTCTGAGTAGTGCTATGTTATGTAGTTGAAAGATAATCCACTGGCATAGAAGTTAAAAAAATATGAGTATGAGCCCTGGCATTAAATGCCTGTATAACTTGGGGGGAAATCTTAAGCCTCTCCAAGGCTTAGTTTTTTCATCTGTGAAATAGAAAAAAATGCTCTTCTTATGTACATCGAGTGAGGTTTTGGAGAGAAAAATGAAATCATAGTAGATAGGAAAGAATATAAGAAACATCAAAGCATCATAATTACACATGCTGTTCTTATTTCTCTCTCTTATTCATATTACCATAAGGATTTTTCTCTTGGTATTTACCATTACTTTGGCTGAAAAGTTATCTTCTCCATAGGTCCATTTTGCCTCTTTACCTGAGGTTCATTTATCATGAAGCAATATCTTTGTACTTGCAGACTTATGCACTGGGCCCTTGTGAGTTTACCTTTTAAAGAACTAGTTCTGTTTTCAAGAAGCTGTCAGCTAGACCCCATATATAGAAATCATGGTTTTTGATGGTATTTACGGTTAATATATAATTTTGACTCATCTTAGACATAACCTTCTTTGGGAAGCCCTGCCTGACTCTTCCTTTCTGATTTAGGTATGCTCTCTCTGTGTTTCATTGGTACCCTTTGGTTGTCTCCATCTCAGTGCTCTGCATTCTCTTTTGTAGTGGATTGTTCATATTCCTGTTTCTCCAGAGTAGGTAAAATGTCAACAACCTGAGGTCTTTTTAAATTTTGTATTCTTAGGGTCTAGCACAGTGTTCGACACTTAATGGGCACTCTGTAAATGCTGAATGAAAGAAGAAATTAGTTAGATAATATAGATAAACCTGATCATATAAATTAACATAGCTTGAACTGCTAAATAAGGTCAAATACCTCATGACTTTGAACTTTCAGGAGTTAAGACTTTCTAAATGATATGATACACATTGAAGTTGAAGTCTGTTTCTTATATTCTACTTCAGGCATTTAAAAACATCTTCACTCTCACCTATTTGCATTCTTTACCTTTACTTTCTAGTTTATCCCTAAGCCTTTATTTATATATCAGTTAATTACAATGAGCCGTTAAAGCAATTTCTTAATTTTCCTTTACACTCTTTCCTGTTATCCTCCTGTGTTTTTCATGATTATTAGAATTTTTAACCTTCAATGGGCATTTTATCTTTTCTTCTTTAGTATGGTGAATGAATACAGCAGAATTAAGTTTGAATTGAATCTCTTCATTTCTTTGCTGGGTTACCTTTGGCAAATCACTTAACTGTATCAAACTTTAGGCTTCTTATCTGTAAAAATGAATGTAGCAGTACTTACCTTGTAAGATTTTCTCAATTTTTACAAGAATAGGCTTAATGCCAGGCATATAATAGATACTTTATAAATTTACTTTTTTCTTTGTCTGAATAGTCTTTCTTATTGTTTCCCAGATCCCATTTTACATTATGAGCATGATTTATTCTTTAGGCTGCCTTTAAAGGACAAATTGGGCTTTTTAGCAAGCAGGGGGATTCCTACCTTTGAGTGACAAGTAAGAACAAAGGGAATAAAATGACTTTATATAAACTGTTGCTTCCTAAACAGTCACTGCTTATCAGACTTTTGGACCAAAAGAGAAGGAAAATATAGGTTGATCAGAAATTTATAAATGAATAGAAAATGATTTTCCATTCTATAAATTTTTTTTCCTTCATCACTACTTTCCTCCCCTACCTAAATTAATATTAAATTCTGTAGTATTTTAATTTTAATGTAAAGAATACTGGACTTTGAATTAGGTATTATTACTGAAATTAGGCATTATTTTCCTTTATTGAGAGAGAAAAGGGGTGGGGAGACATACTTTTCATGGCTGCTCTAAGGGTTTAATAAAAGGTACATGTGGAAACTTATTGTGATTTATAGTAATGACTTATACATACAGTTTTAGGCTAATGTAAATGAAAATTTGTGAAATCAGTTCATAGTATTGTCAAAAGACCAGCAAAACCAAGAGTTCTTTAGGCTAGGTTTTGGAGTAGGAGAGGAACTAAGGCTCATGGCTTAGGGAAACTGCTGTAATGAATATCCATTTTACTTACTGAGAATTTGCTAACTTTCAATAAGAGAATTGGGTACTAGATAAAAAGACAAAGAGTCTGAACTGGAAGAAATACATCCAGTAGGATTGTTTCTAATATTTTCAATAGCTCACTTATGCTTAAGTCTAGCTTTTGGTATGACCAGAATAAGTAAACGTTAAGTATATAAATAATTAATAGAGGGGATCTGTAGAGTATTCTAATCTAGATCAGATTCAGATACTTGAGGGTCTTGGAGGGCAGAGCATCAAAAGGGAAGGGAATGATAAGAATTTATCTTACAAATCCTGTCAAAAACCTGTGCTACATTTTTTACTTTCTTCATTTCAGCCTTTTGCATATTATGTTAAACTCATTTTTGTTCATATATACCTTATTGTTACTTTTTTTTAGCCTCTAAGTATTAGTCTTCAGGTTCTTAAGGGGTGCATTATTAATAACTTTTATTTTCCTCTCCCTTTTCTATACTCCTGGCAAAACAAGTCACAATTTTATAGATGTTCATAAAAATCCACCATAAGTAATAGTTAGATTTTGTTCAAGTTCATGTAAACACATGTCATCTGAGTATACATTTTAGTATTTCTAATGTTTTTACAGACATTTGTGTTTTCATTCCAGATTTTTCTTCTGAATTTGGGCTCACATATATTCAATTTCCTAGTCTACATCTCCTCTTAAATCTTTTTGACATCTAGAACTCAGCATCTCCAAAAGAAAACATCTAATCTTTGTTCCCAGTGAGGCTCCACCTTTGGCCTTCCTCATCTCAGTTATTGGTAACTCCTTTGCTCAGGCTAAAATTCTTAAAGTAACCCTATACTTCTCTTTTTCTCTTCTGACATATCCAATCCATTAGGAAATCCTACTCCCTTTCCTTTAAATATATCTAGAATCTAGCCAGTTCTGCTATTATCTTTTCTGAGCCATCATCATGAATCACCTAGATTACTGCAATACTCTTTTAACTAATCTCTGTGCTTCGGCCATCATGTCCATACATCTCTTCTCCACTCAGCAGACAAACTAATCCTTTTAAGACATAAGGCAGGTCATGTCATATCTGCTGAAAGCCTGCAATGGCTCCTCTTTTACTCAGTAAAAGGCCAAGTTGTTTTGATAGCCTGTAAACCCCTTCCTGCATGAACTGGCTCTCTGTACCTCTCCCTCTTGGTCTCTTACTCTATTCTAAGCACAGTGACTTTCTTGCTGTCCCTCAAACATGCCAAGCATGTTCTATTTTTTTTTTTTTTTTAAAGAGAGAGAGAGAGAGAGGGAGAGAATTTTTTAATATTTATTTTTTAGTTTTCGGCAGACACAACATCTTTGTATGTGGTGCTGAGGATCGAACCCGGGCCGCACGCATGCCAGGCGAGCGTGCTACCGCTTGAGCCACATCCCCAGCCCCCCAAGCATGTTCTTACCTTAGCATCTTTGCACTAGCCATTCCCTGGACCCAGAAATCTTGATCCTCTAGGTATTTCCCCTCACTTACTTAACAACTTTTGCTCACATTCCACCCACCTAGTGAGGCATACCCTGACCACCCTCTTGAATATTGCAACCTGTTTACTCTCCCACTGCTTTCCCCAAACTTCATGTCTGCCTCTTTATTTTCTTTTTACTTTAGCACTTATAACGTTCTAAGATACTATGTTATGTTATTTATCATTCTGCCTTTTTAAAAATAAATATTTATGTTTTAGTTTTAGGTGGATACAATACATTTTATTTTTATGTGGTACTGAGGATTGAACCCAGTGCCTCACAGGTGCTAGGCGAGTGCTCTACCACTTGAGCCACAACCCCAGCCCCTCATGTTGCCTTTTTATTGTGTCTTTTTTTTTGGAATGTAAGTCTAATAAGAAGGAGGATGTTTTGTTTGCTTTTATGTCACAAGCATCTAGAACAATGCTTGTGACTTAATAAGCACTCTGGCTGTATTCAATGAAAGATAATATGCTCAGTGATTTCGGAAGGCTTCTGTTACCCAGGATATTTCAATTAGTAGATATACTTTGTTGTTACCTGATCAATAAAACACTATTATATACAATGTAATCTATAGTATGAATATAACATATTCATAAAAAGAAGCTTTTTTAAAAAATATTTATTTTTTAGGTGTAGATGGACACAGCACAATGCCTTTATTTTTATGTGGTGCTGAAGATTGAACCCGGGTCCCGCCCATCCTAGGCGAGTGCTCCACCGCTGAGCCACAAACCCAGCCCATAAGAAGTTTTTTTATTTTTATTTAAAATTTTTTTTTGCAGTGTCTCACACGTGCTAGGCAAGCGCTTTGTCACTGAGCAACACCCCCAGTTCCAAGAAATTTTATATTTTTTATGGCTTCTATTTATACTTTTACTTGTTCTTGTTGACACATTTTTTAGACTCTAAAATCCTCCAGTAGTAACATAACAAGAGGCAGCTGTATAAGAAGATCATGGATATTATTTTTTTGATTATTTAATAAGTAGAAAGAATAGGCAATTCAGGACAGACATGTAGCAATGTGGCAGATGATTATGGGTAGGCTTTAGTAATATTAAAGAAATGTACCTGAGGCCTGAGGCTTCCCATTTTCCTGTTCTAGGGCATCTGACTGGAAATTAGACCAACCTGATTGGACCGGTCGTCTCCGAATTACTTCAAAAGGAAAGACTGCCTATATCAAACTCGAAGATAAAGTTTCAGGTAAAGTGCAGGTGACCCTTTAATATATTAAGGGTTTTGGTTTAACGTGCTTTTATAAATACCTTTAAGTTGGGGACCTAGAATGGAAATACTTGTTAATTGGAGTTCTGATTTTTTGCTTCCTTTGCTCAGAGGTCTTTTTCTTATTTGTCAGGAGAGCTCTTTGCTCAGGCACCAGTAGAACAATATCCTGGTATTGCTGTGGAGACAGTGACAGATTCTAGCCGCTACTTTGTAATTCGGATCCAGGATGGTACTGGTAAGGGATCTGAGATTTTGAATGGGATGTAGTTAGGAAAATGAACAAGGCACTTCAGTGAAATTGTGTTCTGATTGTATTTCTTACTTTTATTTACTAAATTATTCCTTTTCTTTCTCTGAAGTTGCTATAACTGTTGAGGGAGAAGTATTAACCTGTTATTTGTAATAGATATGAACACAAGTTCAAGATGTGGTAATTAATAGGTAGGACTTAAAATGAATTATGCATATCTAATGAAAGAATTGACACATTTTGCTCCTTTATGGTTTGTGGTGGTTTTTGGTGGGACTATCTTGAGTCTGTATTTCTAGGACAGTGATTCTCAATTATTTCTTTCTTTTTCCACTACTGGGATTGAACCCAGGGGCACTCTACCACTGAGCTACATCCCTAGGCCTTTTAAAATTTTTATATTTTGAAACAAATTTCCCTGAGTTGTCAAGGCTGTCCTTAAACTGTGATCTTCTTGCCTCAACCTCTTAGTCATTCGGATTAGAGGCATATGCCACAACTCCTGGCTTAATCATTTCTTCGTAGTTTATAACAGGAAGAAAGAAGTATTGTAGATTTTGCAGGTCAAATAGTCTCTGTTGCACCTAGCATTCTCAGTTTTGCTGTTGTATTATGAAAGCAGCAGTAGACAATAATTGATATAGCTATGTATCAATAAAACTTTATTTACAAAAACAAACAATGATAGAATTTGCCCATAACTGTATGTAGCCTACTGAGTGGGTCTTGTGAGAAAATGTTTTATATTCATAGACTTTATATAGTTAGAGTAACTTGCATATTTTCATTGGGCAGAAACTTCTTATACTTAGTATTCCTGACTTTTTCACAGGTCGAAGTGCGTTCATTGGCATTGGATTCACAGATCGGGGAGATGCCTTTGACTTTAATGTTTCCTTGCAAGATCACTTCAAGTGAGTAAAGTTTGTCCTTAGTTACCATGTTAAATGCTTATGGGAGTGTCCCTTTTCAATTGAATGGGCACTGTTGCTTTGGCCTTCTGGTTTCTTTATTTGGTATACTAGTTCATTATGAATATAAATCTCCCCCCTTCATGCCTGTTTCCTAATCTTTGTATCTATTCTGGTTTCTTTCTGTATTGTCTATAATATGTTTTAGATCCCTTGTACAATGATTTGTGATGATGCTTCTGTTTATGCCTCTCGGAAAATTTGCCCTTGCTTTTAGGAAGTGGAGGGAGAATATAGTCAACAGCAGGGCTATATATGAAGTGAGGAGTTGTGTACCAATTTTGTTAACTTATATAGCTGTATGTTTTGTGCATTCATGTCTTCAGCCCACCTGATTTTAGTACAGCTTTGCTAGACACTACTATATATATCATCAGCTTTCTACCTCAAGAACAAACATATTTCTGCTTTTCTGCTTCAGGATTCTGAAGTTGTTGAAGGCCACTTGGTTAGCAGAACAGTGTAATCTGCAAGGACTAAGGAACACCCACTCTGGGACAGTGTCCAACTGTCAGATAGAAAATGGTGGCTAGATGCCATCCTTTGAAGAGGGACCAGTTTAATACACATTCTTTATGGTTTCTCAGAGGGTTCTTAATGGGACTGAACCCCAGTTGGCCTCTTTCTTAGGTTCTTATCTCCTTTTCCTTTCTGATTTTTCCTGATTCCTTACTCTGTATTTTGGAATCCCATTTCATACAAACTAAATATACCCAAACTTGTATGTCAGACTTTGCTTTCAGGGAATCTCAAACTAAGATAAATTACTGTTTTCCCAAAGGTGGGTAAAGCAGGAATCTGAGATTTCCAAAGAATCTCAGGAAATGGATACTCGTCCCAAGTTGGATCTAGGCTTCAAGGAAGGACAGACCATCAAGTTGAGTATTGGGGTGAGTATTTTTTTTTTTTTTAATGTATTTTCCTGTTCTTCTCTAAGTTTGTGACATTTCTTTCTCTCTCTCTCTTTCTCTCTCACTCTCCCTCCTCTTCTTCCTGTTTAGAACATTACAACCAAGAAAGGAGCTGCTTCTAAGCCCAGGACTACAGGAGCTGGGGGCCTAAGTTTACTTCCTCCTCCCCCTGGAGGCAAAGTCACTATTCCCCCACCATCTTCCTCAGTTGCCATCAGTAATCATGTCACTCCACCACCCATTCCAAAATCTAACCATGGAGGTAGTAATTCAGGTAAATCTAAAACTTCTAAGTTTGGTAAATCATATCTAATGTTGTAATTGGATAAACCAGTTTTCTAACAGAGTACTAATGTTTTTGCTAAGAAGTGACTTTTTGACAAGGTGATTTTGGCAAAGAATCAGGTTTTTTTTTTTTTTTTTTTTTAATTGGTGAACTTAGTTACTGTATTTAGTGGGTTCTTTGACAGAAAATTTATTAAAAAAACTGTTTCCTTCATTGTTCATTGGTTAGATGCTTGTAGGCATGTGAATCAGATAGACCAACATTATGATTGTGGCTCTAATACTTTATATCTGAGTGCACTTGATAAATATTTCTTAAGTTCATTGAGTCTTAGTTTTCTTTCTCCAAAATGGAGATGTAAAGCTATGTCATCATAGTAAGGTTAAATGATAGGATAACACCCAGCACATTTCTTGGGATATAGTAGCCATTTAGTAAATTATTATTATTTCTTAATCCTTTACAAAGTCAGTTGAGAGAAAAGGAATTGTGTTCGTCCTAACTATCTGGTGCGAAAAAGATATAGTTAAATAAGAACATTAGAACTCAAAAGAATTTTCCTGAGATTAGAGAACCAGATATTAGATACAGGGAGTTTTAACTTAATATATTAGGCAATACAAATAATTTTTGAATTAATTCAAAAGGTAAGTTTTCTCTTTCTGCAACTAATCATCTGTAGGGACTGCCCAAGTCTGTTTTCTTTTTCTTAGTACTAGGGATTTTTGGGGGGAGCAGGGATGGAGGGAGGCTGGGGATTCAACTTAGGGCCTCACACTCTGAGCTTTATCACTAAGCTGTATCCCCAGCCCTGTACTGATGATTGAACCTAGAGCCTCATATATGCCAGGTAAGTGTTCTGCAGCTGAGCTACATCCCTAGCTCTTTCTAGAGTTTTTAGGTGAAAATGTTGTAACCACTTCTCTTGGTGTCACCAGCACTGGGAATAGTATCTAAAATTCATTTTTTTTAAATTGAACTTTTTATTTTTAGATAATTATAGGTTCACATGCAATTGTAAGACTAATACAAGGAAATCCTGTGTAACTTTTATCCAATTTCCTTCAATGGTGACATCTTATAAAATTATTAAATATCATAATCAGGAAATTGACATTGAAATCTCTGCCAATCTTATTCAGATTTTACCGTTTTTTTTTTTTTTTTTTTTTTTGGTGTGTGTGTGTGTGTGGTGCTAGGGATCGAACCCAGGGCCTTGTGCATGCGAGGCAAACACTCTATCAACTGAGCTATGTTGCCGGGGTCCTGCCCTAGCGGGGTCCAGGGAGTCCTGAAGGATGAGTGGCGTCAGCGAAAAGATGAGACAGGAGTCGTTCCGTTGGAGCAATCTCCAGAGAAAGAGATCTAATGCAGCTTTCTCTGGGTCATCTTTTATTACAATTTTTCTCATCATTATAGATTCAGAATACGTCATTAATTATATAATTTAAAACTTTGTCAAGACATGACATTTCCTTAACCATGATTGGGGGTACAAAAAATGTAACATTAATTTACATTTTTCTAGGATATGACCTTCAGTTATATAATTATTAAAAGTACAGAATCATTAATAAAATATGTCACTAATTTACATTTTTCAGATTTTCCCAAGATTTACTATTTTTCCCAAGATATGTTATTTTCTTATTAACTAATGCCAAACTACGTAACCAGACTCTAAGTCTCCTAACCAATCATTAACCTAAAGTACACTTGTACTTTATTTCTAATCTAAAATTCCCATCTAAAAAAGTCCCTTTAAATCTTATATTTAAAACATCCTAAAGTTTATGAATCATTCTTAAAACATATCAAAAACCTATACAACTAAAAACTTAAGAATTTCTAAACTTAAAAATCTAAATAAAATAATATTTCTAACATTATTCTAAAACTGTGTCTTTTAAAGCCGTTTTAATTCCTAAATTTATTCTCATAAAACTGGTTGAGCTGCTTTCTCAAAGAGTTTCTTTGTTTCTCAGTCAAGGTGCACTAGTTCTCATATCTTTATAATCTTTCTCAATAGAAAGTAAGTTCTAAAAATCAATCCACTTTCCACCAATATTAACTATGCTCATCATATATCCCTATGTAAAGTAAGAAAGGGTTTATAAAAAGAGAAGAATATATGTTTTAACTTTCCTAAGTGTAAAAATGAGACTACATGTGGTGAACTTTGTAAAATAAGCATACTGATTAGGTTTTCTAAGAGGCCGGAAATATGGGCTTGGGTTCTAGTTGATATAATCAATGTGGTGCCTAAAATTCTCATGACCTTTCAAAGGATGATTGTTGTCCGTTATCAGGTTTGTCCACAATGTACTGAGATAGAAGAACAGCCTTCTACTTTGTCCTTGATATGCTGAGGGGTAGTAGAACAGCCTCCAAGGCATGAACTACCTGTTATGTTCTAGCCATCTGAAATTTAATTTGTTTGGCATTTAACACACTTATGCCTCCTGTCAGAAACATAAGCATGAAAATGCAAAGTCCCAATTACATAAAAAAGGGTCTCATGGTTTCGGTTTCCCACCAACCAGCGTGGCTTTGCCAGCATTCATCCTCACTGTGACCCTGACAAGACAGTGGGAGAGCGGCTTTGCCAACACTTTTTCTCCCTGTGACCCTGTCAAGACAGTGAGTGGGGGATCGCCTCCCAGATTTTACCAGTTTTACATGTATTTGTTTGGGTATATGTTTCTTTAGTTTTATGCAGTTTTGTCATGCAAAAACATGTTTGATTAGTCATGTTTGATTAGTCACAGATTGGTCATTATAACTAGGCTACAGAATAGTTCCATAACTCTAAGGAATCCTTTGTGTCACCCTTTTATAACCACACTGATCTCCTTTTTAGTCTTTCTTTGCTCAACCCTATTCTGGTCTCTTTCTGTGTAACTTTGTCACTTGTGGAATGTTATATAAATTGAATCATATAGTTTGTAACCATTTGGGACTGGCTTTTTACACTGAGTGTAAATTTCTTGAGATTAATCCAAGTTGTGTATATCAATAGTTCCCTTTTATTGCTGAGTAGTATTCTATGATGTTATCCATGGAAGGACATTTGGGTTGTTTCCAGTTTTTGGCAATTATAGGTAAAGCTGCTGTGACATTTGTTTATAGGTTTTTGTGTGAACATTTCCAGGATTTTTATTGTGTCCCTTTTTCTTTTTTCTCCTCTTACCTGTGTTCAGATATCCTTTTAGATTTGGATTCTCCTATACCTGTCACAACAACAGCACCAGCTCCAGTTTCTGCAAGCAATGACTTGTGGGGAGACTTTAGTACTGCATCCAGGTAGTGAACATAGTGAAACCAGCATACTTTGACTCAGTGTTTAGAAGATTTGTATGGTCAAATTAATCTGTGATGTGGGAAAGCAGGGGATTTGCAAGTCACAATAGAGTCTTTTGTAGGAGTTCTAGGAAAAGAAATGTAGTTGTGTTGGGAATGGTGGGAGAAGAAAACTCCAGGGTGAGGTTTAAGTGGGATATTTCAAGCCTTGGTAAGTAGAATTTGTGCAAAGTATGATTTTAGAAATTTTGGACAGTGATTTCTTGGAAATAAATAAATATAGTTATGCTAATGTTATGCCTTTGGCTTTTTCTCTCTTTCTGTCTTGCAGCTCAGTTCCAAACCAGGCACCACAGCCATCCAACTGGGTCCAGTTTTGAATAGCATTGCAAGACAGTAAGGACAGACTTGAAGAATAAAAATGACGTTGAGGGCACCAATCTGTGAGGGAGGTTAGGAACCCCTTCCCTCCCCCAAACCAAAATTAATGGACAATCTTCTTCATAGCTTTTCCATTATATTCAAGTTGATTTATGTCACTCTTCTATGTCATTACTTGCTATACAGCCAAGAGAGTATCTGTTATTTCCTGGTGATTACCAATGCAGGAGAACAGTAGATCTTAACTATACTTGTGGCTGGCTATGCAGGGTTCAAAAGACCAGTGTCTTTTTGAGGGGAAATGACCTTTAATCTGTAAAATTTTTCTCCATCTTTTAAAATTCTTGAACTTATTTTAGAATCATCTCATGATCCTTGTGTGCCTCTTTGTGAAACCCTATTTTACAATTTCAGGGGAGACAAAGCCTTGAAACTTTCTTTTCCACTAACCCAAGACTCTAAAAATGGCCAGGCTGACCTCAGTATTTACAGATTCAGAATTTTGATAAGGGTATGTTTGGAGAAAGATGGGTATCTTGGGTCTCTTCTGTATAGCCTCCAGGCTTGTCCTATTCAATGAACGTCCAGCGCTAGGTGCAGCTCCATCGCCCTCTTGTGTGTTTACATGTCTTTTCCTATGATAAGAGGGTTGTATTGGTGGCATCGCTACTGTTGTGTTTATTGAATAGTGCAACATCTTTGACATCTTTGGATGTTTCTGGGATGGAGGAAGTTCAAGAGGCTGTGCTTTCCAAGTTATATTCCATAGAAGTTTTTGATTTCTTGCAGCTCCACCTCATTGCTGCATTTGAAGCACAGCATTAATTTATGTTCACCCCTTTATTTGACCTAATTTGAAGAGTTGTGTTTTTAACCTGATCTGTAGAGCAGAGAGGTTGAAAGCACTTAAGTCTTATTCAGTACCCACATTGCCTTGCTGCCTGGGTATCTGACCCCTTTCCATAAGCATTTTTTTTTTTTTTTCAATCCATCTGGCTCTTCAATAGAAAGCTGCTATTACATATATTGTCACTTATGAAGGATGTTAGAGAGTCACAGCTTTATTGTGACAGGTTTTGTCTTGGACTTTGATACCCACTAGCTAGGGTATCTTACAAGCAAGTTGCTCTCCCTTCACTTTCCTTTCCCTCTGCCCTGCCATTCCTTTTACAATGCTGTGAAGACAGTTCACCTCCTCAGATGAATGGGCACTACCTATTTTGTTTGTTAAAGGGCAATTTTGAGAATTAGATGGGAGGATGTAATTACTTCCCTTAGCACCTGTTTGGAGATTTACATTCTGGCTGAAGGGGGATCCTTATATTTAGTTTGAAAATATATTGTTTCTCCTGGATTCCATTCTTAACTCTTTCTAACTTTGGGTCCATAATTTTCATTGCTTCCCCTTCCAGGCAGCTCTATTCTTGCAGAGCCATGGCAGGACATTTTAAAATTCCAATAGAAAACACTAAAAAGAAAGTCTGTAGAATCACTAGTGACTAACTATTGGGAACCTATTTTCTCAATCTTCCTCCATGTTGTGTTCTTTGTATTCTCAAGATGATAATATATTATGTATTTGAATTGCTGAAAAATTGAAAATGAAGTTTAAGATATATGTATATAAAGCGTATGCTGTATTGGTGCAATAATGGTAATTAAAAATATGGAAAATGATGTTTATCTTTTGTCTATTTAATTACCTTTTTAATTTAATTGACCCAATATAAATGGGCCAGTAAGTAATAAAAGGGCATATATATCTATTACTTTTTTATTTTATTTTTTTTAAGAAATGGGGCCTTAAGAATTTGAGAGTAGACCTTGATGCTCAAGGTTCTAAACAGACAGAATACGCCTTATAATACATGAATATTTATTATTTATTTGCTGGTACCATAATTTCATTTGCCTCAAATTATATTCATGACTAAGGCCACCTCTCACATCCTATAATATAATCAGCAGAAATGAAAAGAATCAGCATAAGAAACAGAACTAAAGTCAGTCATAAACTTTGGAAACTAGAAAAGATCTTGGAGTTCTTGTACAGTGATTGTCATAGAATATGTGGGTGCAGTAGACTTGCCTTACAAGAAATGTTAAAGGATGTTCTTTGAGCTGAAACAAAAGGCTGCCAATTAGTAGCATGAAAACATGAAAGGGCGGAGCGGTGGTGCACACCTGTAATCCAGTGGCTCTAGAGTCTGAATCAGGAGGATCATGAGTTCAGAGCCAGCCTCAGCAAAAGTCAGGCACTAAGTAACTTGGTGAGACTCTGTCTCTAAATAAAATACAAAATAGGGCTGGGGATGTGGCTTAGTGGTCAGGTGCCTGTGAATTCAATCCCTGGTACCAAACAAACAAGCAAACAATAATACTGTGTGGTACTGTGTAAATCATGCACATCTAGTGAAGGACAAGAATATTTAAATTTAAAACTAGTTATCAGATGAAATAGATATTATAAACAAGAGATAAGAGACATTGTAATAGAGGTCAATTTTTCAAGAGGTTATGACAATTGTAAATAAACATACAATATCAGAGCACCAAATTATAAACCTTTTAGTATATTCAAAGGGAGAAGTAGGCAGCTGTATAATAATAGTAGGGTATTTCAGTACCCCACTTTCAATAATGGGTAGAGCATGCAGACAAAATCAAAAGGAATCATTGAACTGGAATTGTACTTTAGACCAAATGGACCTAAGGGACATGTATATAACAACCATCTAAGATCACAGAATACATGTTCTTAAGTGCCAATTAAACATTCTTCAGAATCTGGCATATGTTAGGCTGCAAAACAAGTTAACAAATTTAAGATGGTTGAAACTGTATCAAGTATCTTACTACAATGGTATGAAGCTAAAAATCAATAACAAGGGAAATTGGTGTTATGGTTTGAATATATGGTGTTGCCCAAAAGCTCATGTGTGAGACAATGCAAGAATGTTCAAAGGTTCAGCCTGCACAAAAATCAACTCAAAATGGATCAAAGACCTAGTAATTAGACCAGAAACTCCTAGAAGAAAATGTAGGATCAATACTCCAGCTTGAAGGAACAGGCAACAACTTTCTTAAAGCTCAGGAAATAATGCCAAGAAATAATAAATGGGATGGCATTAAATGAAAAAGCTGCATAGCAAAGGAAACAATTAGGAATGTGAACAGAACCTACAGAATGGAAGAAATTGTTTGCTAGCTATTATTCTGACAGGATATCTAGAATATACAAAGAACTCAAAACTTAACACCAAAATACCGTGCAAACATCCCAATTAGTAAATAGGCAAATGAATTAAATGGACATGCCTCAAAAGAAGAAATAAAATTGGCCAAAAAATATATGAAAAAATGTTCAACACCATTAGCATTTGGGGAAAGGCAAATCAAAACTACACTGAAATTTCATCTCATTCCAGTCAGATTGGCAGTCATCAAGAATACAAACAATAATAGCTGGGCATGCTGGTACATGCCTGTAATTCAGTGGCTTAGGAGGCTGAGGCAGGAGGATTGCAAGTTCCAGCAAGTTAGTGAGAACCTGTCTCAAAAATAACAAATGGGGCTGGGATATGATTCAGTAGTTGAGTATCCCTGGGTTCAGTCCCCAGTACTTGCCCCCAACTCCCTACAAAAAAAAAAAAAAAAAAAGAATACAAAGCATTGTTGGAGGGAACGTGCAGAAAAAGGAACCCTTCCACTTTTGGAATTGTAAATTAGTACAACCACTATGGATATCAGTATAGAGGTTCTTCAAAAGAGTAAGCATGGAAGTACCATTTGACCCAACTATACCACTTCTTGGTATTTATCCTAAAGAAATAAAGTCATCACAGTGCAGTGATGCATGCATACCCATGTTTATAGCATCACAATTCACAATAGCCAAACTATGGAACCAACTTGAGTGTCCATCTTGGATGAATGGATAAAGAGAATGTGGTATATAAACACACTGGGGTTTTATTGAGCCATGAAGCAAAATGAAATTGTCATTTGCAGGAAAATGGATGGACTTAGAGACCCTTATGTTAAATGAAATAAATCAAATTCTAAAGATCAAGGCTTATTTGTTTTCTCTCATATGTGGAAGCTAGAGAGGAAAAAGAAAAAGAAAGATGTGGAGGGGATCTCAAGAAAATCAAAGGGAGATCAATAGAGGAAAGAGATCAGAAGTGGGAGGTAAGAGGGAGGGGGAAATTATATTGTTATATTGTGTATGCATGTATGAATATGTAACAACAAATTCCATCATTATGTGCAACTATAATGCACCAATAGGAAATGTGGAAAGAGAAAAAAAAAGTTCAGAGGTGAAATGATTGGGTTATGACAGCATGGATCTAATCAGTGCATTAATTCACTGAGATTAACTGTGTGGTGTAGGATATGGCTGGAGGAGGTAGGTCACTGGGGCCAGGCATTAGGGTTTATATTTTGTTTCTGGTGAGTGGAGCTCTCTGTTTCATGATTGCCATGCCCTGAGCTACTTTCCTCCTCTACACCCTTCCACCATGATGTTTTGCCTCACCTCGGGTTCAGGGCAATGGAGTGGGATATCTATATACTGAGACCTCTGAAACTGTGAGCACTAAATAAACTTTTCCTCCTCTAAAATTGTTCCTACCCAGGTGCAGTTGTGCACTCATGTAATATTACCCAGCAGCTTGGGAGGCTGAGGTAGGAGGATCACGAGTTCAAAGCCAGCCTCAGCAAAAGTATTGAGACATTAAGCAACTCAGTGAGACCTGGTCTCTAAATAAAATACAAAATAGGGCTGGGGTTGTGGCTCAGTGGTCGAGTGCCCTGAGTTCAATCCCTGCCTGACATGACCCCCCCCCCCCATTAAAAAATTGTTCTTGAACAAATATAAATAAATAAATAATTGTTCTTGTCAGATCTTTTGGTCACAGCGTGAAAAAAACTAACTAAAACAAAATTCATGAATATGTGGTAATCAAACATGTTCCTTAATAGCCAGTGTGTCAAGAAGGAATCAAAAAGGAAATTAAGGGGCTAGGAGTATAGCTCAGTAGTAGAGTGTTTGCCAAGTACGTTGTAAGGCCTATGTTTGATTCCCAGCACTGCAAGACAAAAAAATAAGTTAAAAAATATTTTGAGACAAAAATAACAATATACCAAAACTTATGGGAAAAAAGGAATTTCAAGAGGAAAATTTATGATGATAAATGCTTGTTTTAAGAAAAAATAAAGGTCTCAAATAACTAATGTTACACATCAAGGAACCAGAAAAAGAACAAGTAGCCCAAAGTTGTCAGAAGGAAGAAAATAACAGTAAAAATCAGGGAAACAGAGACTAGAAAAACAATATAAAAGATTAACAGACTAGGGGCTGGGGTTGTAGCTCAGTGGTTGAGCGCTTGCTTCACATGCGTGAGGCACTAGGTTTGATCCTCAGCACCACATTAAAAAAATAAATATATTGTGTCCATCTACAACTAAAAAAAAAAAATTAACAAACTAATAGTTGGATTTTGAAAGGTCATCCAAAATGGACAAACTTTTAGCTACACTAAGAAAAAAAGAAGACAAGTGAGAGAAAACATCACAATCAATACTACAGAAATATGAAGGATTATAAGAGAATACTATGAGCAATTATGTATCCCAACAAATTAGAAGAAATGGATGAATTCCCACAAACATACAACCTATTAAGAATGACTCATAAAGTAATCTGAACAGACCAATAATGAGTAAGAAGATTGATTCAATAATCAAAAATCTACTATCAAAGTAAAACCCAGGACATGATGGCTTCACAGTTGAATTCTATAAAACATTTAAAGAAGTAACACCAAATTCTTCTCAAACTTTTCCAAAAAACAGAAGTGGAAGGAATACTTCCAGGCTTACAAGGCTAGCATTACCCTGATACCAAATCCAAATAAGAACACTATAAGAAAATTATAGGTCAATATCCCTGATAAATATAGATGCAAAAATCTTTAGCAAAACACCAATAAGCTAAATTCAACAGGACATAAAAATAATCATATGCAACGATTAAGTGGGATTTATTTCTGGGCTGCAAGGATGGTTTATCAGCTACAAATAAATAAATATGGTACATCACATTTACAGAATGGAGGAAAAATATATATCATCTCAATAGGTCCAGAAAGAGCTTTTGACAAAATTCAAAAATCTTTAATGAAAAATACTCAATTTGGTATAAAATTCTTTGTTTTTGTTTTTAAGAGAGAGAGAGAGAGAGAGAGAGAGAGAGAGAGAGAGAGAGAGAATTTTTTAATATTTATTTTTTAGATTTCAGCAGACACAACATCTTTGTCTGTATGTGGTGCTGAGGATTGAATCCGGGCCGCACGCATGCCAGGCGAGCGCGCTACCGCTTGAGCCACATCCCCAGCCCGAAGAAATTTCTTTAAACATAGTGAAGGCCATATATCACATACCTGAGCTAACATCATCCTTGATAGTGAAAAGTACACAATTTTCCCACATCAAGAATAAGAGAAGGAAGCCCATTCTTACCATTTCTATTTAACATGGTACTGGAAGTTCTAGGCAGAACAATTAGGCAAGAAAAAAAAAAAGACATCAAAGTTGGAAAGAACAAAGAACTAAAATTGTCTTTGAAAGGGTCATGATCTACTGTTTAGAAAACCTATATATAAAGACTCCAC